GATAATGTGTTACTTGTACTGCCCCCATCATGATATTATATATATAGATATAAGCAACTTGAAAAAAAGATAATAGATTTTGAGTAAACTGCAACAATGCAATTACTGCACTGATCCATAAAATAAATTATAGGTGTGGTCAGCACTTAGCAGCAGTGCAGCACTTAGCAGTGCAGATAAACATGGCACATGGCTAGGAGAAAGAAGAAAAGCTGAAATTTATTTTAGCCTCTGAAGCTCTACTGATTCAAAGAAAGAGTAAGCACAAAAATTTTCCCAGATATTTTGAAGAGACTGAGATGGTTTGGTTGCTCCTGCTTTCCCCAGTGCTGCCTGAAAATTTTTCAAAGAGGCTAAATCACAAACTTTGAGCAACTGTAACTCGCAAACAAAAAAGAGGTTAGAAAATTCCCACATATTTTTTAATCTAGGTACTTTTCTCTTCCTATCAATGCTAATCTTGACCAAATAGAGTGAAACACAAAGATTTGGCTAGGAAAAGTGTCTATTCTTGAAAATATTCTGCTTTTGCTACCATGGATTGCTATGAAAATACAACGGAGCTAAATAAATTACCTTTTTCTCAAAGCTTAAAAAGAATTACGGTATAACTCAGGAGAGCTCAGTAAAAAAGATATTGACTAGGAATTAACAGGAGGTTTTGTGACAGAATGGCAGAATGACAACCCAACTGCATAGTACCCGCCTACGCAAGCGTGGCGAGTCCAACAATTGTTTTACATGTATGATTTCAAAACTATATTTTGTCCTGCATATTACCACGACTGTATTAAAAGTTACTTTGGTTAGATAGTGTTAATTGCAATATAGTTTTATTCTTCATAGTCTAATTAAGATGTGAGGGTGTTTGGGTGTGGCTGCAAATGGACATCATGCAGTTGTTACTGTATGTTACAGTACAAAGAAAGTGTCAAATCTTGATTGCTCAAGTTATCACAGTCCAGTCAAAGTGTCAAATCTTGATTGCTAGAGTAAAATGGTGAGTAGGAAGGGAAAGAGATTGAAAACGTAAACGCTGCATGGTGTTGTACAACTTCTTTCACTTCACTTGGATTACAATTTCTGTTCCATATCCACACCTACCTGTACTTTTAATTGGGAAAGAGGGAGTGTCTTGTATATGGAAAGGTTGTTCCATGATCCAAGTGGGCTGAAATACAGCAGATTTTACTTGCGTTTGAACATTGAGTATTGCGTAGAGATCACGTGCACCTAATAAACCATGCACAGAAAATGAACTCACGCATCATGCTGTGTTCAAACGAAAGTGAAATCCGCTGTACTCTTTACAGTGGATTCCCCTTGCATTTGAACATTGGGTATTGTCTATTGCATAGAGATCATGTGCACCTAGTAAACCATGCACGGAAAGTAAACTGGCGCCTCACACAAAAATCCAAGTGAAGTGAAATTGGCTGTAAAACATCCTTATTATTGTTATAGGCAGGTCAGATCTGCCCCAAAATGGAGCACAGTCAGCAAACACATTGGAGAAAACTGAGCTGAAAACTGCCTGAAAAGGCCCTTTTTCACAGAAGGACTGTCTTAGCAGACTACAATAGGTTCTTTAATGTAAACATGCTTGTAAAAATAATTTTTCTACAACTATAATGCTACTTTCTGTGACTTCCTATGATAGAATGGCTATATTTTGGCCTTTGTGTACCTGTAGCTTCCCCAGAGCATTTATATAAAAGAAGTGCCTTGCATTGCAATAAGTATAATATACTGATTGTGACTCAGTTAAGTTTTAAATGATGGAGCTTGCTTTCATAAGGTTCTTTCAATAAGCACCTTCAACGGTCATCCACACTTGATCAGAGACCTTCACTTGTGTACCCATTACTGGTTGTAGTTATAGTATTTAGTAGCAAAGTCTAGAATGGTCAAACTAATGCATTGAAAAAGCTTGGAACAAAGAGTTCTTCCTTCAAATATTTGGAAAAAGTAGCAGCTTTGACTTGATGCTGATCTATCCACCTCAAATACTTTAGGAGCAAATTCCTTAACATTCTGGCATCTCCTAGTGTTCATTTTAAAATCTGGGCCATCAGTAATTTTTCTAAATGAGTCCCAAATTTCACATGATAACTCCTTGCAGCAGTCATTTTTCTTTGTGTCCAAACCCAGGTGCTATTGCTAATTGGCTGGACTTTGGAAACAGTCCACAGCACAAGCACTGTACTATCCTCGTTATGCTCATGTAATGCTTTATGGCTTGCTTTATGAGCATAACAAGGATAGTACACATGCTAGCGCTATGGACTGTTTCCAATTCCTTTCCCCTCCTACTCTATTATCTATGGTCTAACACACTAAATTATGATATAAATCCTATAGCTTACTATGTGTGAGCTCTAAGAGTGATAGGTAGGGAACCAGTTTTTTACTTATTTATATATAAAGTAAAGTACTGGTTCCTTCTCACTTACTATATAATCTTGAAGATTCTTTGTTGGATGGCAGCAATTGTATTAGATGTATAGGATCGTCTAGCAGTTACATTTAACTATAGATCTATATCTATAAAATGAAATTATTTTATTTGTATAAACTGTTAGGAAACATTTTTGTTCATTCTAGATAAATTATTTTTTATCACTGAAAAAAAAGAAGCTAAGAATGATCTTACGCAAGAGGAGTTAAAATCAAAAGATGATGCAGTGGAAGTTCAAGTTGTAGTTGAACAACAAAAAGAAATCAATGAAGTCCAGTATCAAGCTGAAGATCAGTCCACAGGAAAAAACGAACTAAGACAAAAGGAGGAACAACCTAAAGAGGAACAGACACTAGCAGGTAGTACGAAGCTAGAAGGAAAAGAAAAACAAAAGCCAAATTTAGAACTAGAAAAGGATGATTGGTCTAGCTCAGGTTCAAAACCTAGCAAGGTAGATGACAAACAAGATGCAAGAAGTGAAAGCGTTCATGAAAATTATGACCAATCAGAGGATAATGATTGGTTAAATGTCAAAACAGGGCAAGGAACAGAGATTAAAAGAAGTGACATGTCTTTTGAAGATCTCTCAGCAAGCATAGAAATGCAAGCATTAACAAAGCAACAGCAAATAAAGAGTCCTAAACAAGATGCAAGTGCAGATGAAACCGAAACAACTGAAACAAATTTTATAGAAGTTGGAGAAGAACAAACTCCTTCAATAGGTAAAAAATAATTTTATTATTATCATCAGTGGTACTTCACTTTAGGAGTTTTCAATTATCCCCCAAATCCTGATCAACTCAAGAAATATGCTAAAACTCTAGACAAAAAGTGCAAAGAGATAGGTGAACGGCTTAAGATAAATGACAAAAAATCATTTGAGTCTTTATTAAAAAAATGGCAAAGGGACAAACCAGTTCCATACACTTGGGATACATTGTTGTCAGCTTTAAGAGCAGTTGGTGAGGAGAAAATTGCTAAAGACATTACAGGTATCACTATCTTTATGTAATAATACCATAAAATGTATATATAAATCATGTAATTTATACAGAGCAGCTTCTACCAAAATTTTTTGAAGATGATCTATCTCGACAAGTTTCTGCAAGGTAGATCAGTCTATGTTATATACAATGATTTCTTAATACTATAGGGTGAATGAACATCAAGAAGAAATAAGTTTCCTAGTTGTTCTAAATTTATCCCAGTGGAATGTAGAAAAAGAAGAATTTATTCTTTCAATCACCTCCAATGAAATAAATGAAGGGGAAACTTTTGTCTGCCCCTTTGAAAAGTATAAATAATAAATATAGGTCATTATTAAAACTGTATGTACAATTGCATTTTTAGTGTTTTTCAATCAGGAAATAACATGATCTACTTCTGCAAATTATATATTCCTGATGCATTTTTTTGGAATTCAAAATTTTTTCGCTATAAGTATGTCATTGTATTAAAAAACAGTGGTGAAAAACGACATGAAAAGTTCGACTATAATTTTAGAATTGTAAAGAAAGGTACCTCTTTATATGTAATATTGAATATTATAATCTTTATATGATAGGTACCCATATTCGATACGATGCTGAAATAAAACCAAGTTATTGGTTCCTAAAAAAGCAGTCTGCTCTTTTTTCTAATGCTCTTTCTCTGTACTTTGACTGGGCTGTTGAACAAGGATGGACAACTGTTAATCCTGATGATGCAGTTGAAGCAGATATTAGTGAAAACACTAGAAAAATTTCACAAATTTTGACGAGTTTATGTCGTCCTTTTGTTTATTCACAAACTCAAGGCATTAAAAAGTTAGATGAGTTATCAGTTACATCAAATGCATTTAAGGTATCATAATTTCAGCTATGTATTTTAGATTGTAATTTAATTAGATATTGCTGGACAAATTATCATCATACTTGAGCGAATTAACTGATATGGAAAAGTTTTTGGGTGGTTTGTCAGTTGTTATCCTACTTTTTGACTTAAGTTGCTATTCAGAAAAAACTTTCAGCCTTCCTGGAGATTTTAGTAAAAATTTGGCAGCAAGTCTCTATCTCCCTGTATCATCTGAATTTAATTTGCTTAAGTGTGCTTCAATTCTTTCAGAGTTTAGGGCTGAATTTAGGTAATCCATACTATTCTATATTTGTTGTAGTATACATGCAATAACAATTTTTAGGGATGAAAAAATTTTACCAGTCGTTATTAGCTTGTGTGATAGTATCATACTTCGAAAAGGCATTGAATGGATTGGTGTATTGCCTTTACTTCATGCCATTAAACTACAAGGGTTCACTTTTGGAAAGCCATACAAGCTTGATATGATGAGTGTATTTTGTGAGCTTCAATTTGAAAAATTTCTCCCAGAGACCAAGTATAATATTATTAGTCTTTATGATTTTGAAATCATACAACATTTTGCAGGTTTGCTTCTCAAGCAATAAATTTAATCAAACCATACATTAAACATGATTGGTTAATCTCACGCGCCTTTGTATTGCTTTGCCCTTATAAGGATATGTTTTTTTACATCAGAGATTGTCCTCAAATGGCGCCGCTTGTTTGCTGGAAAGTTGGACGCAGATGTATTAATGACATTGCTTTTCCAAAAGAGAATGAAGTAATAACAATTATGTATGTATTTTACTTCTAAAGTTTATTTGATAGGTTAAGGATCTTACCAATGGGCTTGAAATCTTGATCACACCTCTAAGTGGAGAATTGTAAAATTACAAATTGTTACAAACTTAGTGATGTTTTAATCATGTTTATATAGAGTATGTTCAGAAGAAGAGATAAAGTATTGTTTTATTGGAGCCCAAGACATTGTCAATAAATTGGTTAATAAAAGCATTGTGGTCTCAAAAGTGTTCAAAGCTTCAGTTGAACTGCTCCTTAATGTAATTGAAAAATACCAGCCCTGGTCTAAGCATGATATTGTGAAAGCAAAAATGGAAGAGTTGAGTTGCCAAATATTTCAATGGATGGAGAAAGCTCATGGATCACATTTGCTTTCAGAAAATACTGTAATGCTAGAACTTAAGGTAAAATAATCAATAATCAATTAATAAATAATTTTCCTGGTGTTTTAATAGGTTTGGAGTGATATTTTTTTGTTCTCGAGGGAAAATTTTATTATGACATGTAATTCAGTGCTCTTGCAGCGTTTGAGCAAAGTAAATTTTTGTAACACATGCATATGAAATAGTATATTTTTATGCAGATTGATGTTGTTATGAAAACAAGTATTCTATCTAGATCGACCAGTAAGTTACATCAAGAAGTCGTTTCTGGATTACGAAATAGCATCTTACAATCTGTCAAAAAAGATATTCAGGTTGGCTTGACTATTTGTTTTCCTTATTGTGTCATACATTTCATGTCACTAATAGGATAAAGAGCAATCAGAAATTTTAGCTTCCCTTAAAGGAGGTTCACCCAGAGACATCAGTCAAATTCTTGCAGCTATACTGAAACACATGTATCCAAATTCCATTGTTTCTTTATCATCAATTTTTACTGATAATTCATGGGTAATTATAATGGAATTATATGGTAAAATAGCATTAATACCTTTAATGTTTATAGTTCTGTATTAATTTTTAGAAACTGTCCTTTTGAATGATAGACCTTCTTCATTGCAGGAGGAAAAATTTATTCACCATTTATGTGAACAGGCAAGAAATGATCTTCATAATTTTTTTAAAAATATAGAGTCTCGACAAATAACACCTAGTCAATTAGAAGATATTCAAAAAGGAGAGCTTTCTAAAACTCTTGACATATTCCAGAAAATTCTGTCATTAAAACTTTTTTGTGAGCACAAGGTGACAACAAATGACCTAGAGAAAGAATTGAAAACTTACAATGCTTTTACAATGAGAAATAAAAAATTAAGACATTTTGCTCATAAATTTATGGACTTTTGTGAAGGTTTGTAATTTAACATCACTATTATTAATGTTTTTATTTTTGACAGAAGAGGCAATAAAAATAAAGCAGAAATTGAATGATGACTATGCCAAAATTCCTATCAATCAACTTTGGCAATATGTTGGAGAAGAAGTTACATATATTTACTGCCACATTGATGTATCATATGAAATTATTGAAGAAGTGTTTCGTTTAACACATCACAAAGGAATATCTTCGGATATATTTGCTAAGATCTTCGTTAAGTGGACGTATGAATACCTCTCAAAACACAAAAATTCTAGTTCAAACTTTAAAATTGCTGTAGAAGATTTTTGGATGCCAATGTTTGAAGAATTTAAGACTGACTTAAATCGGCTTCATGATGGGTTACAATTGCCTTTAAAGAAGGTCAAATATCTTTTTAATGACATATCAGATAAAACAGCATTAATTGACCAATTACGCAATTGGTGCCAGGCTGTCCATGAGAAAGATAAAAATTGGATCAGAGATGCTGCCCAGAAAATTTTGGATTATCAAGAGTTGTGCCGGTACTCATATTCTGCGCAAACATTAATGCAATTAAGAAAAACTTTAGGATTAACTGGAGATTTTAATGCTATAGAAGCTTTATTGCCCAAAGAAGTAAAATATTATTGGTGTTAGTAACTAAAATAAAATTATTTTCACAATATAGGGCATTGAAGATGATGATGTTACTCTTGCTACTGTTGAGAGTGCAGCAGAAACAGCTGATATACTTAAAGACATTGCTGATGTTCCACATCGCAGAGCTTGTCTAGAAACATTTTGTTTAAGCATGAGTTTAGCAGAATGGGTCAGAAGTGTAGCAAACAGTAAGTAAAGTGTATATTAATGTGAGGTCCTATTTTGGCATAGATCTTGGACAGCTACAAAATTTTGTCCAAGTTGCTAATCAAACTATGGATGGTGATTTGGTGAAGCAATTATTACAAGACCTTCTTAAATTTGGAAGTGCCTTTGCTCCATTGATTTATGAAGTTGACAAAAAAGAAAGCTGTGAAGTTTTGATTAACCGCTGTAAAGCAATGTGGCCATTAATTGATGAGTGCCAAAATTTGATGAACATAACAGTAAAATTATTTCTAAATTTTATTAATTTAATAATTATACTATTCTAGACCTCTTGTACTGCCCGACTTGGAGAGTTAAAGAGAATTGAAGAATCAATATCTGATTTTCAGAAAAGTAATGTAGAGCAAATGGATTCAATCAATACAAGAGGAATATACTACATTGAAGCTATTCCAGGAAGAATAATTCATTCTCCTGATGATGCAGTTTGTCTAAGAATGAGGTTGACACAGGATCAAAATCAGCAGCAAAAATTGTTTCGACTAGATGACCTTAGAGAACTGCAAAGTAAATTAGTTCTTGTTGCTGCTGAAAATGCTGATAAAGTTAATAAATTTATTGAGGTTAGTTCCCATAACATACATGCAGCCAGCTCTACACCAATTTTTGATACTTTTGATTAGATACTCTCAAAGATTGAAAGAATAGCTCTTCTATTAATACAACTGCAAGAAGCTGGCCTCATGGATTACACTCATTTTCATTTAGAATGTGGATGTAGTGAATATAAAAAAACTGAATTTGATTCAACAATTGATTCAATGGATGAAGATTTAAAAAATTGGCAGAGAAGTGTTGAAAAATATAGAAAGCAATACCCTCATTTAAATTACTACACATCTCAACAACTGCTGGATCTTCGGAAAGAACTTGGAAAGTTAAAAAAGAACCCGAGCTCTGTAGTGTCTCATTCCTTGAAGCACCTTCTTTTGTCAGTAACTCTAAATCCATCTGAAGTCAAAATTTTTTCATCTTTACACAATGCTGTGCAAACAATGAGCAAAAATATGACATCATTAGGAATGCCAGTGCAGCATAGAAATATTTTCAATACTAAATCTACTTTACCTACATTTGATCCTTCTTCACTGAGTGATGAAAGAAAGAAAATATTTACAACCTTGCATGAAGATGATGAATATAAAGTTTCTTTAATTTTGACTGCTTTCTCAGAATTAGAAGAAGATGCTGATGAAGATGAAGTACGGACATGGTGCCAGAGAAATGAACATAAGTTCATTGATGAAGAAGATATTGAACTATCTTCAACAAAGACCTCGGACACGAATGAGGAAGATGACATAAGTGAAAATAACACTTTAGTATTAGAGCTGCTTGAAGAAGAATATAGTCTAAATATTTCTATTGAAGCAGTTAAAAAAGCTAAACAAGATCCTCAATTGGCACGAGAAATTGCATCTGATCTACTTGTTGGAAGGTATACTGAAACTAATGTTTCAAGTTGTGAGAATGAATGGTAAGATATTAATAATCATAAAATTTATAAAATATTTGAATAGGAGTGCTACTAAATATTCACAAGTTTCATTATCTGTAAAAATGGAGGTGGAAAAAGGAGAATATCTGGATTTTGTTGAACTGGGAGAGTTTCTTAGAGAATTAGCATACCAAGAGACTCTATGTTTTGAAAAGAGGAATGTACACAGCACATTAGTGGAAGAAGGAAAAATAAATTTACTTGCCATTGATACTTGTAAGTTCTATTAAATATCATGTCATGTTGGACCTAATGAAAAGGGGTTCTGTTACTAGGATTTAGCATTAGACTTTATGTCGTAGTGCTTATATGGCACTTTCCACTTTTTATAAATTAATTTAGTCAAGATGAACAATATTGTATATGGTCCTGTGTTTTAATAAAAAAAAATTATTCATATTTATGCTTATTTTTATTTCTCTATAGCATCTACATGGAAAGCTCTTTTATTTCTGTATATGGTTGATCAGAAAAAGCCTCTACCCACGCATGAAGAAGTTCTTATATGCACTAAGGATACCACAGTTGAACAGGTTAAACTATTCATTCATGTAGTATCACTAATATTAATGAAGAAGCAGGTTACTTTACTATGGCATCGTGCAGCCAATGATGAAGAAAAGAAAAAATTGTTTTGCCTTGTTAATGCTGATCAATTACCTTTTAGTGTCTCTGAAAAGGTCCTTGATTATCTAGAAGTAATAGTGCAAGCATCAAAAAGTAAAAAAAAATCTATAGTATAAGCTGAAATAATAGGAAATTAATTTTAAAGATTTCAGGATAGTCATATTGATTAATGCAAAGGACCAAGCTAGAAATCATTTGGCATCAAGACTGAGTCTTTATTTAAGAAAGTTGCCAAAATTGCCATCTGATGAGGAAATAGTTGAGTACATTTCAACTCACACTGACGTATCTTTTGATATAACAGCATCAACTGATCAAGAAAGGTTTAGTATAATAATATTATTCTTTATCATGACACAAGTAACAGGCAAACAGTGATGTCATTGAATAAAAATGTTCATATCATTGCATCAAGGAATAATGGCATGGGAAAAACTCTTCGTGTTAAAAGAATGGCTAAAATGATTCATAAGATCAACAGTTCTGGAAAACCAAGCTATGTCAATATTCCTATTCATGGCCCTGAAGTTTCAGCTCGTCATGTCCTAGAATTGATGGAAGAATGCAAACAAGATCCTACTGATACTCATCCACAACTCATACATTTCAATGTGGCACAAGATGTAATTCCTTTTTTATTTAAATTTTGATTTGTTTCTTTTGTAATAGATGATAGAGCAAATAGATTGGCTACTGTTTAAAATTATTGTACTGGGAGGATTGGATGATGAGTATGGTAACATTTGGAGAAAAGTAGAAAAACAAGTTTGTGTTGTAGAGTGCACTTTAATGAAGCTAGATTATGAAAAATTATATGATAGATCTATGTCACAGGTAATTTATTTAGTAAACTTATTGTAGTAAACTATCATACTATGTAGTTGTAAATAGTTATTAGTTTATATGAATAATATAGGTTAACTTATATTACTATTAATGGTTAGGTTATCTTTTGCTAAAGCAAACATAACCTAATAGCATTAACACTAATAATAACTTTAAAACATTAAAAAGCTCTATATTTTGATACATTAAATGTATCTAAATATAATATGTTTCAGTACTGTACTACATTCACTAGTTAGTTTCTTTTAAAATTCTAAAAGTTAAGTTGTGTTTCTAGAGCTAATGCATGATATACTTTTTTAGTAGTCTAAAGTCTGAAGTTACAACACTAATGAATCAATTTAATTTTTGCTTTATAATAGGAGGTCTTACCGAGTGTATATACATTGTTGTCATATTTTCCTCAAACTATTTGTGAATTTCCTGATCAAGTACAAGACCACTTTAAATCAAGTAGATTTAACTTTAAGTGCTACTGCTCATGCAATCTTTTCAATAGATTTTTTTGTTTTAATGGATGATAATGTATTTCAAGAGCAAAGTGTGCAACGTGTTTATCAATATTTAAGAAGAATAAAAGCTAATCAGGAATTGGATCAATTTACACTGACACATTTAAGAAAACCTGAAGGGACAGGAAAGGAGTGTTTAGAATGCTTACTTGAGTTAAAAAACTCCATCCTTACTATTAATTACTTTTTTTTACAGATACACTTCATATAAATCTACTAATCCATCATGGTCGAATATCAGAAACTTTATAGAGTTCCTCAATGCCCTATTGTATGATTGTGAGCGATCACCATATGTTGATGAATTAAAAGGTTTTAAAAATTTTGTTGTGAAATTTGCAATTTTAATGGCTAAGGTACGCATAAATAAAGGGAAAAATTATTTATATCACTTCATGCTCAGGAATTTACTGAGCCTTTTGTGATGAATGATGAAAACTCTAAAAAATGGGATGCATGGTACAGTATATTACAGTTTTACTGGTATTAATATGAACTTGTAAAAATTAATAATAGCTGTCATCCTTATCTGTTTTTTAACCAAGATGGGTATACTATGACGTTTTTGGGCCTATGGGTTGATGAGGATGGTAACCTATTAAACTACAATAATAAACAAGTCATTCAACACAATTTTATGGACAAGAGACTTAGAACTATGTTGCATCATAACGATGTATGCTTTCAAGAAGATTATAAAAGCTGGGACAAGTGATTGGATTAATAGCAATGCATTAATATTTTGAATGTTTTATTAGGAAAAAAATGATTTTGAAATTGATCAGAGTTTTGGGTATCCCTGAAAATAATAAAGAAAATAAACTTGACCTGGAAAAAATAGACCCGGATAGTACATATGTACTGACAGTTGATAATTTAATGAAAATGTTAGCCATACACATGAAATTCAGGTAATAGAATCTCTTAGTATTTAAAAAGATTTATATATAAATTATGTATTTGTATCAAAGGTGTGGTATCCCCGTTGTTATGATTGGTGAAACTGGATGTGGCAAAACACGACTTTTAAGATACTTGTGTGAAATACAAGATAAAGCATTCAAAGCTAAGACATTGATATGTTTAAAGGTTTAATGAATGTCTAATTTATATATAATTTCTACTTAATCAATTTATACAGGTTCATGGTGGAATCAATGCTAATCGTATTAATTCTGAAGTTGAATCAGCTGCTAAATTAGCAATAGAAAACAAAGGAAAGTGTAACTATACTGTCTTGTTTTTTGATGAAGTCAACACTACCGAAGCACTGGGGCTAATTAAAGAAGCTATATGTGATAGGACTCTGAATGGCAAACCAATTATTCCTGAAGAACTGAAGTTTGCTGCTGCTTGCAATCCTTATAAAATGTCAGTTACCATTAAAAAATTATTTATAATAATTGTTGCATTACACAGCCACGATGATGAAACAATCAAAAATTTGCAAAAAGCTGGACTGGGATTTTATCTAAAAGATGGAGAAAAAATTCCAAAATTAGGTCAGCAATTTAGAATGTTACGCTTGATGCTGCATAATTTAATTTTTGAACTAGGTCAACTTCCGTTGCGTAAATTAGTGTATCGGGTTCTTCCTCTCCCAGAAAGCATGTATCGATATGTTTATGACTTTGGCACTGTCACTGGGAAAACTGAAAATGAATACATTGAGAAAATAGTTAACAATCAGGTACCTATATTGAATCTCAAATTTTAGGTTTAAATATACACTACAGCTTTCAGGATGTAAATTTATAACCTCTGAACATAAAGCTATACAGATACTTGTGAAGAGTGTTCTTTGTGAATGTCAAGCTTTTATGAGAGAACAAAAAGTAAATAATTGAATAAAATTTTTTGTATAAAAGTTAATCTATGCTACTACATAGAATGAATGCAAATATGTCAGTTTGAGAGATGTTGTTCGAGCAATGATCCTTTTAAAATGGTTTCTGGAGAAAATGTGTACTGTTAATATCATCAAAAAAAAGCTGACAGAGCAAATTCTAAATGATAAAACAATTAATCAAGATACTTATCAGGTGTGTATAGTAACTTATTATTATTATTATTATTACAGATGTTGATAATGATAGGAGTTAAATGAGATCACACGTGCATTGATATATTCTGTCAGTGTTTGCTATTATGTGAGACTTACTGATAGGGAACCCTTTATTGAGAGAATAGTAAAATGTTTTACAAATGAATATGAACTTCCAGGAGAGACTAATCAAAAAAAGATCTCTTTTTTTGCAAACGAAATTAACAGGTCAGTAAATAGAAACTTATATCTTTTTACTTTACAATTACTGTTGTTAGAATTCAAAATGTATTCCTTAATGCAATGACTATTCCTAGTAATATTGCTCATAATGCTGCTTTACGGGAGAACATATTTATGATGATTGTTTGCATTGAAAACAGATTACCATTGTTTATTGTTGGTAAACCAGGTAGCTCTAAGTCACTAGCAAAATCAATAGTTAGTAATTCAATGCAAGGACGGTATTCTTCTAATGAACTTTTGCAACGTTTAAAGCAAGTTCAAATCTTTCCTTATCAATGTAATCAATTTTCTACTACAAAATCACTGATTGATGTTTTTGAAGAGGCAATGAACTTTCAAAAAAGTCAGGATGCCACTAAATTTGCTTCAGTAGTTGTTTTAGAAGAAATTGGATTAGCGGAAGATGCTCCTGGTCTCCCTCTGAAAGTATTGCATCCCTATCTTGAGGATGGTACTTCTGGAGCTGATCCTTATGCTATGGATATAAAACCAGACGAAAGAGTAGCTTTTATTGGTATTTCTAACTGGGCCCTCGATCCAGCTAAAATGAACAGAGGTATTATGGTTGTCAGATGTTCACCTGAGCCACAAGAACTAACTGAGAGTGCTTGTGGTATTGCTAACATGGTAACAGATGTTAATTTGAGAAGTGAATTAACAATTTCTTTTGATATGTTAGCTAAAATGTATCAGAAAATTTGTTTGAAGCAAGAAGAATGTGAAACCATGGAAAAAGATGAAGCTCGGGAATTTTTTGGTTTACGAGATTTTTATACAATGATTAAGATGATATGTTGGAAATGCATAGACATAAAAGCTCCACCAAGTCCTAGAGACTATCGACGTATTGTATTGCGTAACTTCAGTGGGCACACCAAAATCAATCCATTGGAAGAGCTACCTAATCCTGATTTACTTATAGAGATGGAAGGAACAGAGAATGAATCTCTTGAAATTGTTAAAGAAAGTGTCCAGCCACTAGAAATTAAAGATGTAAATGTAACTCTTCCAAAACAGGAAAATCGATACTTATTATATATCACAGAGAATCAATCTGCTCTACAAATACTTCAGTATAAGCTATTGCCAAAAAAGGAAAAATTATTTGTCTTTTATGGCAGCAGTTTTCCAAAAGATACAGAATACACTCAAGTTTGTGTTAATATCAACAAAATCAAAGTTTTTATGGAGAAAGGTATTCCAGTGGTATTACTGAATTATGAACAAATCTATGAAAGTCTTTATGATGTCCTTAACCAGTGTTACACAGAGCTGCCTACTGGTCGTTATGTTGATCTTGGATTACGATCGTACAGAATAAAGTGTCGTGTTGATCCTAATTTTCGTCTAATTATCATAGCTGAGAGAGATCGTGTCTTCAAACAGTTTCCAGCAGCACTCATTAATCGCTTAGAAAAACATTTTGTAGCATCTAGTACAATATTAACACCTCAGCAAAAAGCACTAGCAATGAAAATTAGAAAATGGGTTAATGAATTTGCTAATATTGAACACAATGGAAAAAGGTAGATAAATTACTAAATTAACAAAAAATTCATTCTCTGTAAACAGATATTGTGTCTCAGATTCTTTCATTGGTTTTCAAGAAGATACACCTTCCTCTGTTGTTCTTCATGTTAGCAATACTAAGGAACAAGATCAACAGGTTTACTTTAATAACCGATGAGAAATTTTTATATTTCTTGTGCATTAGATATATGATGACAGTATTGCTCTCCTCCTTCAAACAGCCTCTATTGATGCAGTCACTCGCCTAAAATCAAGCAGTTCTAAATGCAGCCCTGACACAAAAGATAAAGCTTTTAGAATTTTTTTTGAGGAACAACAGCACTTTTCCATGATGAATTTTCTCTCGAATGTCATTGAAGATTTTGAAAATAATGGTGCTATGATACAAGTATTAGCTTAAGTGGCACTTAATTTATATTAAAATTATTCATTTTTGTAGATTACAACATTTGGGCCACTATTGACTCAAAACTACATTGTTACTCTTAAACAAGAACTTACTATAAATAGTATAAAATTATTCCAACTTTCAGACTTTGATACAGAAATGGATTTCTGCAATGAAATAAAGTAAGTATTGAGTACACATGAAGCTGTTATCACCTTATGCACAGATGAATTATTATTTTAAAATTTTTTCTTGTTCTACAGAGCATTCTATGCATTAAACCATAAAAAAAAATTACTGATTGTTCAGTGTGAATATGGAGACAAAAAGACTGATCTTATTGCTTGTGCTCGGCATCGCCTAATGGATGAAGGACAGAGAATAACCATCAGTGGACCTGGGATTACATGTGCTGTATTTACAATATTTATAATTCAACTACCTCGAGTAGCTGGTGGAACATCGTTTGCTTCTTTTCAAGGTGGATCCTGGATTTGTACTCATATTGATGAACTGACCTGCCACTCTGGAGTGAAAGAAATTCTCCAGAGTGCCATCTCAAAGCCACTTCATAAATTCTTTCATATGCTCATTGAGAAAAAAGATGAAGTGCCTGATGAATTTAATGTCAGTAAGAGAATCAGAGATATTGTTCAAGTTTCAGTGTCGATGATTATTTCCATTGGCACATATAAGCAAATGGAATGCTTAATTGGTTTACTGCTCCAGTTGATATCAAATGATTTCAGCACAGAAGATGGTTAGTGACTGATATTGTTTTACTGAAAGCTAAATATTGTGTCCTTATAGTTTCAGATAATTTTACTAGTTGTCTTCTTTTGAGAATTGGTGACCTACTTCAACAGAGAGATTATCTAATTCTACATCCAAATAATTGGGCTATTGATGCAGCAATGGATAGATCGAAGCTGCAGGCTAGTTTTACTCTTGTTAACTCCATCAAAAAGGCTATTGATACACAATTACAACCTATTCTAGCATATATAATTTCTTGCATCAACAAAAACAACAATTTAATCCTACTGAAAAGTGAAAATAAATGCCTTAAAAAACTCTGGACTTCACTTTTTAGTAGTTTGTCTTTCTTACCATTTGATTATGGAACAATTGTTACAACTACAATTCAAGCCATTAATATAAAAGGAAGGAGCTACAACTGTAAATTTCCATTTTCATGGGAAATAATTGATCAAGTTAATGCTGCATTTGTTACTGTTGGACACAATGATGGTAAATTTGTATAGCTAGTACTAATCATAGTTTGAATAGTTTTAAATGCATGCAGGAAACAAGAAGAAAGCTTTTCAAGACTTGGTTGAATCAACAAGAAATCAAGCATTTGTGAAACATATAGAAAAACTTCCTTCTGATGATGCATTGATATTTTATGATTGCTATCTTCATGATTTTGTTAACAATTTAGTGCTGCCATTTAGTGAGGAAGCAATTGAGAGTGTTCATGAAGTAAATCATTTAAATTCATTGCTACTAATATTCTCTACTTTATACAGATTTTATTCGAAGTCTTGAGACAAATAGTGATCAAATTTGAACCCCTGGCTGCTACAAGAGAACACTTTCCACTGATTAATGTCATAACAGCTATTCATCTTGCTTATAGTATAATAGAACAAGAAATATTTTGGTTAGCTGAATTGTCTGAAGGTTTCCCTAAATTACCATGCCAAATAAAAGATAAACAATTGTTATCCTCTGGAAAAACAGTATGCTATATTATTACATTTATTTTACACCATTTGTTTTATAGGTATTTCATTTTAAAGCTGTAGAATGTGTTATTGACAAAATATGGCCTGAAAAGCCTGAGTGGAAAGATGATGAATCAGTTAACTATTTAATATTAAACTTCCATTCCAGCAAAAGTGCAGTTGAAACAATTTTATATTTGAAGGGTCATGATGATATGAGTAACAAAGTCCTTTTTAATTTAAGGTTCAATGTAATAAATCATGTTACTTTTGAATCATTTAATACAGGTCGAGATGGCAAGGACTAATGAGCATAGTATTATTTGCTGAGCATGTTATAGCTCCTTTTATGCCTAATGTAACATTGACTACAAGCAAGTTTACCTTCTTAAAACGGTTTTCTAATGTAAGTATTTTAGATATGCACATATCTATTTTACCAAGAGTACATTATGTACTCTTGATTTTACTAATACTAGGTTGTTAAGGTTGTGAAAGAACCTAGCTCTACATGCATGTTTTCTGAACCAAAAATTCTTAAGCAGAGTATTAGACAAATTCAAGCTGTTTTGATTGCATTGCCAGTGTATGTTAATATTACCAAGAGTATTACAATTATTGGATTATTATTCATTTTTTACTATAGCCAAGAACAAGCTAATTGTCAACTATGCAAATCTGTATTAAAAATTACTGAAATTATTTATGTTCCTTGTGATCAGAGTCACATGTTCTGTGAGAAGTGTTTTAATGATTCAATTGAAAAACGTGGTCCACGCTGTCCTTCATGTGATACACCAATACCTAGAAAGAGAGCAAAAGATTTTTGTATTCCTGATTATAAAAAGTAAAAATAAAGTAAAAAAAACATTATTCTTTTGAATATACATAGGAAAGAGTATGAACAGTTAAAGCAAGTTCAGCAGTATTGTTTGGATTTTTTTATGGAGTTGGTGTCGCAATGCTGCTTCTCACCAATAACTCCAACAAAACCTACTGATGATTTTTATAAAGAATTACTAACAATAGTGACAGATATTGAACATAAAGACTACAAAAATCTCTTTCCAATTGAAGAAAACTATACTCACGGTTGTCCTATAGCTCGTTCTGTATTGCTGCAACTATTATTGGAGCACAAGTAAGTTACAAGTGTTGATTTTTAAATACTCCAATTTACTACTTCAGTCCAAAAGAAGTCCAAATAAAGTTGCAGGAATATCAAAATTACATTAAAAGAACTTTTGGGAGTGAGTACATTACTGATGACAAGGAACTTACACTATTGTGCATTAAGTCATTAGAAGTTAGTTTAGCACTACACACATACATTAATTTTATTTAACTTCACTTTTGCTGTCTTATTTAGGACGGTCTTCATAAATCAAGAACAAAAAAAGAATGTCTAGATGATGAGCTCCAGTTTGGAATAAAGTGTTTAAATGGAGCATTGGCTTTGCTAAGAGATGGTGATCACTTTAGGGCATGTCAAGATAATCTCTCGGTTGAGTTCATGCAATGTATTGCTAATGTTCGATTTGGGATATGTTTTGCTGTTGACATTTTTTATCACTATTACTGCTTTGGTTCAGACGAAAGAAATCAATTGCCCAGAGTAACAAAAGAAAAGTTACAAGAGCTTTGCAAATCTATTCATGGTATCATTGGCAAGGGTGTGCTGAAGGAACCTTATAAATTCTTTATCAAACAATTTGTGCGACAATTTGGTTTTCCATATCTTAGTGAGCTTGGAAAATTAAAACAATTTGAATGGCTAGATTTGAAAAAAACTGAGGTATGTTTAATTTCAATTAATAGCGACACCTGCCATAACATCCTTCATAGACTTTTGATGGCTTCATTGTATGTGGTAAAGAATACACTACATTGAGAGCAAAGTGGATTTTCACAGCAGATCTCCTTACAGAAGATGATTTAGTTAATGATTTGGAAGAAGTATGCTTATATGTTATATCAATCTTAAAGCCAACTCTGATTAACTTTAGCATGACAGTAAAAGTGTTCTCAATAAAGTTGCCTCAACTTTAGTATATTATCGGCACATTGAATCAAATACATCCAATGCTACTGCATTGGGACAAAAGGTACTGAAAATGTTAAATCAATAAATCATCTTTTTGCAGGACCTATTTTTTACCCATCAAAAAGTGCAAAAACTGCTTTCACATGTATGTTGTACTGATATGTGTATACAAAATTTTTAAAAAAATTTAGGTGTTCAACGGTGGTCCAGGATCACTTGTTACTGGTGTCATTTTCAATCCAAGGGAACCAAAAACCACAGACATAGCTGCAGTTGTTGTGCATTGGATTTCTGTTCTTGAAACAAGAATTGACAATAGTTTATTTGGTCCATTTAAAGAAATTTTACATCAAACAGCAAATTCTAAAGTAAGACTATAACCATAATTGGGCAAAGCCCACTAAGATGAGTAGAGTTTGTATGTATGCATGTATGTCTGTCTGTACACCATAGGCGGCTGCAGAATTTTGAATTTACCCAGGCTCATTAATTATTCATAACAATTGGGGTGTGGTCAATTAATTAAATGACTAAAGGTTACTGACACAAGGCACTTGCCACACTAAAATAACTGTAAAGATGAACTGATACTGTGTATAAACAGTTGTGGTTTTAAAAAATGAATTATAGTGTCTTAATAATAACAAAACACACCTTTTGGGCGTGGTTTTGATTAAAAGCTACCCAGGCATAGCCTGTGCTTGCCTGGGCCTGCAGCCGCCTATGCTGTACACGTATGTATTCCGTATCTCCTCTATATATCCGCACATGCCTAGCAGTGCAATACCGTATAGCGGGTTTACTTCAAGGATAATAAGTTTTGCGAATGACCCGTATCTGGAAGTTTGTGGAATTAATTTTTGCGAATTTCCACTATTCTGCCATCTTGTACCATGTTAAATTGATTTTCAAGGAATTTAATTTCGCGAATCTTGAAAAATTCGCGAAATTCGCAAAATTTGCTATTCTCAAAATAAACTCTCTATACGGTAGATTCTAAATTTCAATATTTCATTAAAAGGGGAGTGGCAAAAAAAATAAAATGGTAATCAGCACACGGGAATCAGAAGTCATGATTTTCCTACTTCCTAGCAACAAGATAAGGCAAAAACACTGTCCAAAGACTTCTCCAACTGCTTGAAAAGGTTACAGGTGTAATTATGTAACTATGAAACTCCTTTTTGTTGAGATAAACTGTGAAAATCAAACAAATGTCACCTTTGTCACTGACTGCACTAAACTGGCCAGCCTTTTATATCTTATGGCTATTTTAAAGTCAGTGTAGCAAGGCTTAAAATAAGAAAACAAGTCAGGAGTTTTCTAGCAGCAACATAAGGTTGCGATTCTGCTTTTTCCCAGCTAATAATCTACGAGGCTGAGCCTTTGAATGTTTTACATTGTTTCTAGTTCATTGGGGCGAGCCTGAGCGAATCCCACATAAACAAGACAAGTATTGAAGTCTGTATGTGTCTGTACACGTATGTCACCCCTATTTATCTGTATGACAAATTTTCCACTCGAGCCTGAGCAAGCCCCACATAAACGAGACAAGTATGATGTAAGCATCTATAATGTAAGTCTGATGTCTGTACACATACGTCACCCCTATTCATCCGGATGAAAAATTTTCAACTTTTTAATTGGGGCAAGCCTGAGTGAGCTACGTGTATAACGTGTATAAATGATACACGTATGTCTGTCTGTTTGTACATGTCCGTCACCCCTAGTTATGCGTACGTCTGTCACCCCTATTTATGCGTAATACGGTAGGTGCTATGTATTAAAAATGGTATATAAATTCAGCTTTCAATATTTCATTAAAAGAGGGAGTGGCCACAACAAAATAAAATGGCGACCAACACATGGGAAAAAGTCATGAGTTTTTAGCAGCAAAATAAGACAGAAATTCTGTGCAAAGGCTTCTCCAATAGCCAAGCAAGGTCATAGATGCAATAAAGTAACCATGAAACTTGTTTTTGCGGATAACTTGACTTACTGTACTCGCATTGCCACCGTCTGCCATTGATGCTACACAGCACACACTTTCCGCGCATAACTCCATATATTATTGTCTCATAACTATAAATGTTAATATTACACACGTATAGCAGGGTTTTTTCGTTCGGCCAAACTTTTGTTTTGTAGGAGGAAATCCAATTTCGTGGGTTTTATTTTTGTCCTTCTAAATCTGCAAGAATTAAGCCACACCCAACAACCCCACCCATAACACCCACGTGTGCATGTGTTAGTGTTAACTTGACCATAGATTTTATAACTACGTTTAACTTGTCGGGTGGATGTTGGAAATATGGAATCCGGAGCACCTATTTCCGCCCCCTCACTGTTGTGATTATTATTAATTTTTTGAACACTGATTATTCTACTAATTATTAATTACAATTAAATAACTATCATGAGGGCGGGTTCCAGAAAGGGGAGTGTCCAGCCACTCAAGACTGGCTAACTTGCTAGTCACTTTCACTCCCCAACCTTTGCTACCTGATTCCCGATCATTTCCACAATAAATTACTAACACCTTTCAAAACACAAACCATTATGAACCCACAGTGCCCAATGTCAATGAGTCATGTCCTCCCCTACATGTCCCCTTGTGCTAACACTTTCGACATCGAAGCCAGCTGCCCCGTTCCTAAGCGAATGTATGATAGGAATGCGCTGCTCTTCCACCTGCCAAGAGTCTGTATTGTGGAGTCCTCCACCCCCAATGTAGCAGTGGTGGTAGCCGCCCCAATCCGGAAACTATGACCTGTAAACCTTCCTGCGGGGAGACCGGCCTCCGATAACACCTTTTGAACTTCCCCCACAAAACGTGTACGGGATAGGGGTGTTAGTTGCCCCTCCCGGTCCACCGATATATCCCGAATGTCCAAGTGCACTCGTGGATCGAACCGGGCGCCCTCCGGCACCGTCATCTCTCCGGAACGGCTGAATGTGAAGAAGGTAACACGATACAGCCCACAGCATAACATGGCTGTAACCTTTCTCCTGGGATCCTCGCCGCCATACAGCCCTCATCCTGCGTAATATGTTCGGGGTCACTGGCAATCTGCCCCTTCTGGAGGTGGAGCCCTCCCTCCCCTGCAGGACCACCACCCCTTTTATTATCTGCTTTAGTCTGGGCATGGAGCCTATATTGGGTTCAGACAAACCCCTTGCAATTTGTAGCTGCCGCACCCCCAACAAATATGCTTTTATGGTAGATGAAGATAAACCCTGTTGGCCCGTGCATGCTACAAAATAACAAAGAATATTTTCAGACACTGGGAAAGGTGAGAGTGAAAAATCAATACAGAATTGCATGTACCGCCTCTGAGCAGTGTTGTATGACTTTTTAGTTGCAGAGGCTATACCTGCCTCAAAGTAATTTTGAACAGTTCCCTCCAAGGTGCTAGCTTGCCTCCAGAGCGAGAAGGACCAACAGAGCCTCGGGGACCGCTGCTGAATTGGGATTTGCACTTGCCGGGGCCTGAGAAAAGAAAAGAGGGATGTTATCGCGTGACAAAGCATCTGCCAAGGTGTTGTGAGCCCCTTTGATATGAATGGCCCCAAACCAAAAGTCATACCTACTTGTGAAGAACACTAGTAAGCGAACCAAATGCATTAAGTGATTGTCACGGCTATATAGGCCCTTCAATATATTCACCACTGCCATATTGTCAACCCTGAACTGTACCAGCTTGCCCCTCCAGTACTGCCCCCATAAGGCCGCCGCCATGACAACTGGGATTAATTCTTGACCTGGATAGAGCACTTCTGCAACTGCGGCGGCCACTTTACAGCCAGCCAAAAGGGTAGCCAATACCCTCCGCATCCCCATGATCCTGATGCATCAGACACCACCACTACATCAGGCGTGGCTACTGACACGTCCCACACCGCTGAGATCCCACTCCACCTTGGAATGACGAGGCTACACCACAGCAAATCAGCCCTTGCTGCCTCATTTAACCTGACTCGATGCCATGGCGCTGACCCTACTGACTGTAATGCATAAAGCTGATGCAAGAATGCTTTCCCTGGTCTGATGACTTTCGTAGCATGTTGAAGCAGCCCAACAAGGCTTTGCAGCTCCTTCTTGGAAATCACTTTCCTAACTTGGGCTCCAGCCACCCCCTCTACCAGTCGCACCCTCTTATCCTCGGGCAGACTCAGCTGAAGCTTCTCTGTGTC